CTTTATTCTGAGAACCAATTTTCTTTTTATTTGCAAGGCAATTAGTGAGACAACTACTATCATATGTTTATCTAACACTTTCACTATCAATTACAATTTTCATCATCAGTACTGGCATCACTGTCTCCATCACTATCATCTATTACATTTTCGACTATTTCAGGATTGGAACAGTTGGTTCCAAAACAATTTGTACATGCAATTGTGCATGTAATTCCATGCTTCATGCACTCACAAGATCTGCATTGTCGATAATCGGATTTTGTCGCCTAATTGTTATGCATTATCCGCAGTCGCACGGTCCCAAGAGATTCTTTTGAAAATCCATGATCCATGAAATATTCCTGTGCCTTTCGATGTTTTCCAGAAAGCCCACCCCACGGGCGTGGGGCATACTTTTCAGTCTCAGATTCGGAATCCCCGTCCCCGAAAACCCCCGAGTGGGGATTTAGAAGACTCAGCTATTCGATGTTTTACAGAAGGTCCCCCCTTGACCCCCTGGGGGGCCCCAGGGCCGTCGGGCATATTTTTCAGGGTCAGATTCGGAATCTCCGACCCCGTGCACACAAATTTCTACAACTTTAAAAAATTCGGAAAAGTTTATGCACTCCAAGATGCACTTTATGCACCCGCAATGCTGTTTCGATATAGCCCTAAAGTGTGATAGACTTTTTTCCTGATATTTTTCCGAAGACAATGCTGAAAACCGCAACTCGATCGGTTCATCAGAAAAAAAACTCCGTATTCTGGGTGATTTTGGTCTAACTTGCCTGGACATTTAACAGATTCTAGCTATTAGTTTACGTCTGTAAGTTTGGTGGATAAATTTGGCAACGCTGAAAGAAGTGCTCATAAAAATGCTAAAGCAGTGATGCTGACGCGCGTATATTGCCACTGCAATATGCAAATAATTCTAAACATTTGGCACCGGATTTGAAAAAAAATAATATACGTATCGTATTTCTTAACCTACTCTCATTTTGCGATGTACTTAAAAAATTGGAAAACACCCCGTTGCTTCACGTCTTTGTTCCAGTGGGTACGACTCTGTGATGGACGCTGCCAGCAAGGGTGCCGTTGACGCCTTCAAGCTGGTCGCCGGAATCATAGCCAGTGTCATAGCCTTTCTGGCCTTTGTCTACTCCATAAACGGTATCCTAGGCTGGCTGGGAGCATTAGTAGGTAACCATACAACAGTTTTCTATTCCGTAGATGTTTGTTATATTTCAAAACTGTTTAATTCGGATAGGTTTCGTGGACGAGGACGATATTTGGTCCCTGGAGGTGATAGTTGGGAAGATTTTCATTCCTCTGAGCTTCGTAATGGGTGTGCCTTGGGAAGAATGCGAGAACGTTGGAAGATTGATAGGCATAAAGACGATGGTGAACGAGTTCGTAGCCTTCCAGAGAATGCAGGAAATGATCACGCAGAATCTCCTGAGCGTAAGTCTCCAGCCCGTAATCTAATCTAATGTAATACGAACAATCTTTGTAATTTTAATGGTGGGAAGAGGCCTCGTTAAATTTTTCTAGAGGAGACGCAACTGGCTATGTTAAGAACTCCTCACCGCATTCCACGAGAAGCCTCTATTTAAGACACCGAAGAGAAACAAAATCAAGAACTATACATTGTGTCCTCGGATGGGATACAGCACTTTTTTTTGTTGATTTTACGAGAAAAAAGTTATTCTTGATAAAAAGTTTTGCTTATCTTGTGCAGCCATGGGCAGTAATCAAATATGTAATAAATTATAAGGGGCGTTCAAAGCAAAGTGCCTTTAATTTTTGATTTCGTTAAAAACTGGATTTAACAAAGTTGTTCCAGAAATGAAGAAATGCTTATATACGGGGTTTAGTCAGAAAATAACATTAATAACATTTTGCAAATAAAAAGACTCCGCAATTTTTAACTATCTTACATACCATACAATTTCCATGGATCATGTCATCAATATCAAAGTCAACATATTTATTTTTATTAACTGCCCACCGAATGATTTTTACAAATATTTACTAACTCTGGAGCAACGAATTGTTATGGCTGTATGGAAAATTACAATTATCAGTTATCACTATTCTACTAGGTTTGTGGTATTAACCTCAAATTATAAAGTATCAAAACTGTCATGAATCATGATGTCAAATCGTTTTCTGTGTATTTTGTTTGTCTCGATTGCACATGTATACGAGTTAATGTCACAGCGAGAGAGACAATAATTTTAGATAGAACAGAAAATGTTTAAATTTTATTTTGATATTGTTGCTTTTCTGAAAAAAAAAGTTAATGAAAGTAAATATATACAGGGTGAGTCAGTTTTTTATAGACAAACTTTAATACATAGTTTAGTCAAAACAGAAAAATAGGGTCATTCATTACCTTATATTCCAAAAATTGAATGTGCTATTATTTTTCATTAGTAAAAGCTTATATATACAGGGTGAGTCAGTTTTTTGTAGACAAACTTTAACAGGAGATATAACACATGTTTTTAAAAAGAAAAGTTCCTATAAACATATGTCGTAGAAGGCTTCATTTCTGAGATACAGGGTGTTGAATATAATTTTTTTTTTCTCTAATTATCATCATAACTTGTAAACGAATTCTTAGATTTTTTTCATGTTTGGGGGATAATGCCTATTGATTAAGGAGCATAAAACAAGCAATAAGAATGTTCAAAAACTTGCACAGTGGCGGAGTGGAGGGGGTGCTCAACCACTTTCTTAAACAGAACTTCTACGCCAATGACTATTTTAAAAAAAAAACTGTTATTCTCATTATCTACATACAGTTTAACAAAAATAATGTCCCTTCTTCTGTTTCGAAATTCCTGTGCGTTTCCGAGTTATTTTGATTTTTAGTGTTTGTTGTGGTACTAAATTAAGTAATTTATTTATTATCAATTATCGGCTAAATATTTAATTCTTTCAACGAAACCTACCTAAATATGGTTTGTTAAGGATTTTAAAAAGCCGAAATCTCTTATTCTTTATCTCTTTCCAATGTAGTCAAAATAAATATTTGTTATATCAAGCTATACTCAAATACAAGACTTTTATAAGTTGAAATCTGTTACATTACATACATACAATACATTATTGTGCAGTTGCCAAAAAGTTTTAAGAAGTTGTTAATTAAATATTGTTATAAATTCAAAAAATTTCTCCATAAACATTAACATCAATGTTCATTCAATTTTTTTTTTTTGTAATTTAGTTGCAGTACATTAGTATTTACGCAGCACATAATAAATAAGGATTGTTAAAATTAGTGTACTAAACAGATTTCAACTTATAAAAGTCTTGTATTTGAGTATGGCTTGATATAACAAATATTTATTTTGACTACATTGGAAAGAGATAAAGAATAAGAGATTTCGGCTTTTTAGAATCCTTAACAAACCATATTTCGGTAGGTTTCGTTGAAAGAATTAAATATTTAGCCGATAATTGATAATAAATAAATTAATTTAGTACCACATCAAACACTAAAAATCAAAATAACTCGGAAACGCACAGGAATTTCGAAACAGAAGAAGGGACATTATTTTTGTTAAACTGTATGTAGATAATGAGAATAACAGTTTTTTTAAAAAATAGTCATTGCCGTAGAAGTTCTGTTTAAGAAAGTGGTTGAGCACCCCCTCCACTCCGCCACTGTGCAAGTTTTTGAACATTTTTATCGCTTGTTTTATGCCCCTTAATTAATAGGCATTATCCCCCAAACATGAAAAAAATCTAAGCATTCTTTTATAAGTTATAATGAATATTCGAGAAAAAAAATTATATTCAACACCCCGTATCTCGGAAACGAAGCCTTCTACGACATCTGTTTATAGGAACTTTTCTTTTTAAAAACATGTGTTATATCTCCTGTTAAAGTTTGTCTACAAAAAACTGACTCACCCTGTATATATAAGCTTTTACTACTGAAAAATAATAGCACATTCAATTTTTGGAATATAAGGTAATGAATGACCCTATTTTTCTGTTTTGACTAAACTATGTATTAAAGCATTTCTTGAGTTCTCGAATAACTTTGTTTGTTAATTTTTAACGAAAACAAAAATTAAAGGCACTTTGTTTAGGAAAAATTTTATTATACAGGGTGTTAATTAAGTATGTACAATACATTCAACAGACGATTATTTGAGTGATAAGACAAAAAGTTCATATAAACACTGGTCCGCATATGCTTCGTTTTGAAGATACCGGGTGTTACCTTTTATTAAAAAATTGTTATTTCGTAAATATGTTAAATACCCTTTACCCAATTTTGTTGTAATTTGGCAGTGTTATTTATACTTTATGTTATTTAGATGTTACATGTTATTAATAAAAAATGATAATTTCCAAAATAAACTTTTCCGCGCGTTTCTTGTGTGGTCCAAAGATATGCAATTAAATGGATTTTATTTTTTTCCACAAAAATTAATCATGATACGAAAAACATTCAAGAGACAAAAAAGTTGTATTTTTAGTTGCTTAATTCAAAAAATATATAAAAATTACAAAAAAGTCGGTGGCGTAAATTTTTTTTGTCAAAATATTCGTTAAGGTACCGCTTCACGCTTGGGACGCCACTGGACTTAATAAATCTAAAGGGTATTTAAGATATTTACAAAATAACAATTTTTTTTTACAAAAGTTTAACACCCTGTATCTTCAAAACGAAGCATCTGCGGATCAATGTTTATATAATTTTTTTGTCTTAAAATCACTCAAATAATCGTCTGTTGAATTTATTGTACCTACTTAATTAACACCCTGTATATTTGACTATTCCCATGGCTTCCCATTCCCAAGATAAGTAAAACTTTTTATCAAGCACAACATTTTCTCGAAAAATCAACAATAAAAAAGTTTACAAGAGTGCGGTATCCCATCCGGGGACACACTGTATATTTTATTGTATTTTGGCACACATCGAATGAACGGAAATTTTGTAATATTCGAGACTATCCGAGATTTCAGTGCAAGGCAGGCCGGCAGAGCTACCAACTCGTTCAACAACAAGTTCGTAAGTCTCCCTATTTCCTTCTTCATAACCTTTTTTTATAATTTCAGGAGAGGACGAAGGTAATAGCGACCTACGCCATCTGTGGATTCTCCAACCCGGGCTCCATAGGCATCCAGCTGTCCGCTCTCGGAGCTCTTGTGCCCACCAAGAGTGAAGTCTTGACCAGGGTCGTCTTCAGGGCGTTTTTCGGAGGGTCCATAGTCTGTTTTATGACAGCGTGCATAGCTGGTACTCTAATGCCTGACGACAGCGTGTAAAGACTACAAGGATAATATTTATCCTTATTATTTTGACTTTGAAACTACTTATTTGACTATTTTGCAACATTTTGGCTCAAAATTAGTTATTACTGGACTGCTTACCGGTTTGGAATGCAAATATTATGTATTCTACAGGGTGTTCTCGAAGTTGAGTCACTTATTTTAAATTGTTACAATTTGTTTATAATTTGTTTTTACAACGCGGTGGTCGAAAATTACAATAAATCAGGTTTGAATTATAAAGTTTTTAAATTCCAATTTTTTAAAATAATTGTTAATAATTGCTTTATTTGGCGACTTTCATATAAACGATTTTTGGTAAATCGGCTTTTTTGCGAGAATAAATAACTAAACTTTGAGAACACTCCGATATAGTGATGGTCTGCTAAGTAGATGAACACTAATATAACAATTATGAATGTGATAAAAGTTTTCAGTATTCTTAGAAAAAAATTATAAGAACAAATGAGTAGGATAAGGCGGGAAACTACGTACAAAAAAATATTTATAACTGTTTTTTGTAATAAATTTTTTGGAATTAAATAAAGCGATAAAGCAAAAAATATTTTTTATTAATATACAGGGTGTCACCTTAAGGGGGTCGGTTACTACGCATTCCCAGAATGCTAATCTGATTTTTTTTAATCAAATGAATACTCGCGTTATAATTCGTTTTTTAAACTTGTGGCTATCGTTTTAAGAAAACTGTATGAAACTTACGGAGTGACAGAAAGTACATTCTTTTAAAGTCAGCATACTTTTTTAAAGTCGATGAAGCGCCGAACAAAAAGAAACTCGAATATTTATAAAAAATGACATTTTCAGTATTAACTAATGTCGGAATGTGGATAGGCACACGTTAGTAATTATACAGGGTGTTTCTGAAATAAGTACGTTCCTTGAAAAGGGCGATAGAAGGCACGAAAATGAGCAACTGTTATTAAGCAACTGATGGTCTAAATATTTCTTTTTTCAAGAAAATGAATTTAAAAAACTAACCATAAATTGCTAGTAAGCCTCATTGCCTTTACCTAACCATAAATGTAAGTCTACAATGTGCATCTTGTGCACGTGCGTTGTGTGTTGTAGTATTACTTAGCCGGCGTATAAAATGTTTTCAGCATGCTGCAAATAAAACTCTCTCAACGGTAAAAAAAGTATTTTTATTGAAAAAAAAGTTTGTGGAAAAGTCGGGGCGAGCGTTCGCTGGAGAGTCTTCTTACACCAACCCAGGCACTACAGTGCTAATGTACTGAGAATGTACAATTTAAATGAGACTTGTCGTTTGTATGCGGTCCGTTACCGTAACAGACGACGACCTAACAATAGAACAGTGCAAAAGGAAGTTCAAAGATTACGGGATACCGGGAATATCCACCCCTATCATGTACAAAGCATTGAGGCATTAAATAACATGTGTGGAATGTTGACAGTGGTTTCGACATAAAGTAGCACTTTATTAGCTGAATTAGTGCTAAGCGTCTTTAATTAATCCAAAAATATATACGATAAAACTAAGCCGCGAATGATACGCACGAAATAAAAACTGTTGGCGGAGTTTGCATTGTTCGATTCGTTTCTTCGATCAATAAGTGCCTGATCATTGTTTACAGATTGTAAATTCACTTTATTTTTGACCTCACTTTTATGATAATACAGCAGAGAGTGGTAGATCGAAAAAAAAAACAAGAGAATGTCTGTAAGATTGTTTTAATATTTAAGATATTATGTGAGATTTGAATGCCAGTACGCTAGGTAAATCATGGATCTTAATAAGATAAGGTAGGTAATTAGGACCCTCTATGATGCGACGTGTCGAGACATGTTTGGACAGCCATGGACAAAATTTTAAGCATATGCTGTCAGTCGACTAAGCAGATTTACTTTAATTTATTTTATTCTGTTAGAGTTTTCTGTTAGAAGACTTCTTACTGTTTTACAGTTTATTTATATAAATGAATAAAGTTTTTATTATGTGGGACAATTGAATTATTTCTAAAATTTCCTGTCTTCCTTTTAGATTATGAGATTTGACAAAAATGCATGCCGTAGCTCCCAAATGTGTATGCGATTGCGGCCAATGTACGCAGTTTTTTGAGGTCATACAGACTAAGGCAGCTGCGGGTTATAAAAACTACAAAAAAAGGCTAAAAAATCAGTTTTCAAGACGGTATTTGAGAAAACAAACTTGTGATATGTTCTATTCAAAGTTACACTCTGTAGGCATCCTGAAAAAATTTATGACAAATCTGTGTAGTTCGAAAAATTAAAATTTTTACTGCACTTCTGAAAATTCTAGAGTATGAAAATGCCTGCAGATTTTGGGTGAAAAGCAAAATACGGACAAATCGACTTCATTTTAGAAATTCTCGTACCCGATTTACAATTACATATTGTTCAGAAAATGACAAAACAAAAAAATACTTTTGCTACAATTCGGAAGCGTACCTATTAGGGTGGCCCAAAACAACACATTTTTTTCGTGTCTCTTGTGAAAATATGTTAGTTTATCATGTTTTAAGAGCCCCCTCAAAAAAATCAGGCGACTAAAAATAAATATCAACCAACTAATAATTTTTTTATGGAATTTCATGAACAAAAGAATAGAAATACATCACGAGACACTTAAATCTTAAAAAATTAAACAAATATAAATATTTGATACAGTGCGGTAGTAAATTTTTCCTCGAGAAATATTATAAGTGTCTCTTGATTTATTTCTATTCTTTGGTTCCTCAAATTCAATAAAAAAATTTTGACGATTTTGGATATTTTTAAAAATCATGACCAACCTCTAAAAAATTTTTTTTTTAGCTGATTTTTTGCTCTAGCTCTAGCTCTGCTTTTAGCTCTTAAAACATGATAAACTAACACATTTTCACAAGAAACACGAACAAAATTATTCGTTTTTTGGGACACCCTAGTACCTATATTCCAAAAATATTATGGGGCTCTGCAATTTCAAGATTTTCAGGAACTTTTTTAAAAAATTTTCCCTTGTAGCTCTTAACGGTGAATAAAAAAATAGGTTCATTTGAAAAAAGTTACTAATCCACAGAAAATTGTTTACTTGCGATTTTTTTTAACAGAGTTGAAAAAAATGGTCTCTCCGATCTAAAGATCTGAAAAATGAAGGAAATCTGTTTCGTCTAGCTGATGAGCTGCGCTAACGCGAGAGAGCGTGAATTGCCTTTAGAAAGTTAAAGTATCGAGTGGTGGGAACTAAATTTCAATCGGGACTGAAAGTGAAAACGCGGGTAAAACCCTTGATATACCTGTTACCTTTACACGCATTAAAACACACATATATTTTAATATTTTTGATATTTGATATATTTGATACACATTTACCGAATTTTTACAAGAAAAGTTTGTTAAAAGTTAAAATCAATAAATAAAATAAAAGTTATGAGGGTAGTAAATCCACTCAACAACTGATACTATACGAAAAACATCTAATTGTATTCATGGTTGCATAAGCAAGTTCATTACGAATATTTACCGTTATGATTTACTAGGCCGCATCATATTTTTTAGACTACGGGGACAAGTTTACGGGTCGATATCAAAAGATATAATTCAAAATGAAACTAAAAAAAATATTTTTTTGAAAAGAGTTATTTTTAAGATGTTTCAATTGCGACGTAAAGTATTAGCGATAAAAATGTACCTCTTCTGGAATTTTGATTTTATTTTTCCCTGAATATAACCAATTTAAAGATTTTTGCACCGTTATTTTATATGAAGCAATTTACAAGAAAACTTTGAATGAGTGATAGATGAAGGAAATTTAACGCATTACTACCAACATATGAGGTTTCACATCTAATTTAATGCTCAGTGACGTCACAATCAGGAGTTTGATCGAGTCGATGATGTACTTTCCAGATGAAAAAGTTAACTTGTACATATTGAGCTGCCAGCAAATCCAAAAGATTGTTTCCTTACATTAATATTCAGCATGTGAGAGGAAATAAAATACAAAATATAATCGTTTCGTTTTGGTGTCTCGAATTGTTCAAATTAAGTTTTTCCCCCATGATATTGTCTCTGAAAGATGCAAGCAAGTTTCAAATGGAAAAATAACATAACAACCCTCCACGGCACGCGCAGCCCAGGAAACACGTCCAAGATAAAATTCATTTTGACATCTCCATTGACGTTTGTCTTTATCTTCGTCTAAAAATCGGATATACTTCGGGTATGAGTCTCGCTTAGAAAATCGTCGATTTTCAGCGAGGCCTTTATTAAAATGGAGTTAGCTAAAAAAAAGCGAAAATCCATTCCATTCAATCAATGAAAAAATCTACAGTTGAAATAAAAGTAAGATTTTTGGCCAAAAGTTGCTTGTTCGACATCAACACAAAGCAGCATTATCTAATTTGGTAAAACAGTGTACTCAAAAACTTAAGAGCTAATTAAAGGGTATAGTCTTTCCGATCTCAATTAAAGAACCAAGAGGTTGGCAGTATGTCCAGTACATACTCGCGTTCGGACGCTGACGCAGCAACTTGGCATTGAAATATTTGAAAAACTTGTTCCCATATTTATTTAGCCATACCCATATACAGGTCTGGTCGAATTAAACGTGGAAACGGTAGAAATGTATACGCCCAGTTGAAGAATGCACGCGAGGGCAAACGGCGGATAATACAGCTGTACTGGTCGATTGAGCAATAAATCTCAGTTGTTGACAAGTGTTTGACAAATTGCCTAGCAGTGCAGTATAGCAATGCGGAATTTGGTGTGATTCAGGTAATTTCAATTTATTATAGGCATCTTTTATTAATAATTCGTATTACAATTGCGAAAGGGGAATAAGAGGGATATTTTGTTTACTCATATTACAACATGGCATTTTGGAGACCTTTTAAAACGGAACAAAACGAAATTTATAATTGTAACGATGTCAATTGGAACCTGTAAATCTTAAAGCACAGGACCGTATCCTGAAATTTCTTCATATGTTTTGACCATGGTGTGTCTCGTAATTTTTTCTCGAATAGCAATTCGGCGAGTCCGGTATTGGTAAACTAGTCCGCCTGATGTATAAACTAGTCTGCCTGATGTAGAATTGACGGTGGCGCGCTGGTCAAAACAAAGATTTACACGTAAAAAGTCAACATATTTTATTAAATATATATATGAATGTTTGAAAATTGAAAATAGTGAACAATGTCATAAAAAAGTTAGGAAACGTATTAACGAATTAACTAAGATATCAAAAACGACAGTTTATCGCGTAATTGAAAGACTGATCACGGTACAAAGAGAAAACGGAAAAATTCAAAATGAAAGAAAATTGACTATTTTACCAGATGTAATGCGGCGCACAATTTATAATATGTATAAAGAAAATAAAGTTCCTACTATAAACATGATTATTAATTATCCTGATTATAATTATAAATCTTTAGATATTTTACGACATGCTTTATTACAATGCGATTTTAAACATAAAAAACTTGACAATCGTATGGTAATTATATGGTAATATAGCTCGGAATATACGTATACAATATAGTATATCTAGACGAGACAGGGCTAAATTTTTCTGAACGTCTATGGATTCCGTAGAATTTACGAGTTAAATGTTTTTATGCGGTTCCAATTGAGATCGTAACAACTATACCATCAATATAATAAAATTGTTTAAGGACATAAATAATTAAAATATGAAAATATAATAGAAATTTTCTATATATTATAAATTATATAATTTTTTACTATTAGCAGAAAACTTTTTTAGGGACACCTAGGAAACTCATTAATTTTTTTTTGCTGGGCATTTTTATACCTGTTCAACATACTTAAAAAGGACTATAAGTAACAATACTGTAGGTTTTTTCCGTTTTATCTACGAAGAATATTAAAGGAGTGCAACATAAACCTCAGTTTTCGATTGACAGTTCCGTTCAAACAGGAAGCGTTTTAAAAAGTTTACTGGACGTTTCTCGTTGGTCATCTCCGTGAAACCATTTAATCCAACGTTAATTTCGAGATAGTATAAATAATAAAAACTCAGTAAAAATTTCTGACGAATCGGCACACAGATCTAGATGGCTATGGTCCCGGATTTTCTGAAAACGCCCCGCCGACTCTCGCGAAGGCCGCCGCGTCGCGATCTTATCAGTCCGGAACGGAACTGAACGAAGACAATGATCAATCGATCCCGCTCCAAAACTAATTTTCCCCCTTCGGGCCCTACGGCCCGTCCCACTGGGACCCGTAACGGGACCCGAGGGCGGCATCCCTCGACCCTCCCCCATCCGTGCCGCCACCTGCGACCGGAAAAATTGCACGAGCCGTCGCGCTCCGCCGCCCAAGTCGCGCATGTCGCCTCCCGTCACATGACGAGGTTTGTAAACATCGTACCGTTTGATGTTTGACATTAATTCCAACATGGCGTGTAGTGTTATCAGTGATAAACATTAGAAGGTAAGAATTTCGCTTTTTTCCATTCTACCGCCGATTTAAGGCACCCCGGAGGACGGCGGTCGTCGCGACGCCCGACGGGCGCCCTTCCCGCTGACGTCCCCGGGTCCGACCATTTAAAAAACAATCGAAAACAAATAATATCGATCACTCTACCTGTGTGCGGTGCTTCGTTGGCCAGGCGGAGCGACAAGAGACGTAGAATTTTAGAATTGTGCCTCGAAAACCCCCGAGAAAAAAGATTCCGACCGGCCCCGGTCCTCTCGCCGCGAATTTTTTCGTCGCCACTTGCGGCCGAGCTCGTTTGGTCAATAAATGAAATTATGCCCTTATTATCACTTACTTACGTTTAAACTTGACTCGTTTCTGTTGTTAACTTTGTTTACTCGGCGTGCGTTATTTTCAATAGCGCTGTGTAAATGTTTGAGCGAAAAAAAAAAACAAATTCACGGGTGTTTTGATAACGTTGCATTTGACGAATTTGTTTATTATTTGAATTGTTGTTATTTGCTCCTGTTACCACGTAATATTATTTGGTTCCCTGTTAAAATATTTTGTAATCTTTTATAGTTTCCGCGGCCCATTGGAAATGTATAAATTGGCCGATATAAGTCCTAATCAGGCAAAGAAACTGAAATGAAGAGATGTCAGTTTAAAGTCAAATATAGAAATAGATACGCGATTAATGCTAATGTTTCAAGGCCTATAGTTGGTAAATCCAAAAGATAAAACGTGGAGAGAGAAAGGAGAAAAAGTTTTGAAAAATAAGTTTTATAAATAATATACAGAAATACGTTTTATTCGTTTTTCTACATTTTTCCACTGCCCAAAATACTGTCCAACAACACTTTTTTGTGGAAAAAGTAACTATATTGCAAATTATTGATGCATATTTTTGAAAAACTTCTGCTAGATTTGACGAATTTTTTTTTATGCTTTCGTTATGCCAAAAAATTTGTCACTGTCACTAAATATTACTTTCTAGGTACCATGTACCAGGTGGTTCAAATTAGTGGGTTTTCAAGGGTTACTGCGAATCTGTCATAGATAGAGCAAATCTGATAGACGAGTCCAGAGCACTTTTTTCGATAAAATAACAATGGCGCAAACCGCATCTCGTTTTTGAGCTACAGGTCGTTTCTCGATTTTTGGCTAAACCGACTAGTGCCCTTTTCTCGTTTCACTTTCAAATTATCTTAAAATGGTATAAACGTTCTACAGGCAATTTTTTAGAGATACATTCGATGGAATAAAAATAAATGTGATATCTTTAATTTTTGTGATATGACCACTACATGTGTTTTATTGAAACACCCTGTATTTTATTTCAAAAACGGAAAGGGGCTTAAATGCATTGCAACAATATACAGGGTGGTCCGAATTTTATGCAGGAAACTTCGAGGGCAGATAGATCTCTTTCAAATAATATGTGTTTGCCTTATAATCATAGGTCCGGAGCGGCCCTGTTTTAGAGATACAGGGTGTTGAAGTCGCTAAAAAAATTGATTTTTTTATATATATCCGGAATATATTAACCGATCTCAATAAAATTTGGTACAGAATCTATGATAGTAGGCCTTACATTTCCTAAAATATGACCTTTAAAGGTTCAACCAATGGTGTACAACTGGACAGGGGTCACCCCTTTTTTTACAAAAAACTGATTTATATTGTAATGCAAAAAATACGTAAAAAAGGCGACTTTAATTTTTTCCCTACAATTCGCCGTTCTCAAGTAAGTAATTCATACCAATACAATCCCCTTGTGGCAGATATTTCTAACCATAATATTACAAGAATATTTATGTTTATGCTTAAAAGTAAGTGGAATTTGTAAGCACATCAGCAAAATTCCTTACACTCGTTTCCACACCACCTGTGAGGTAGAATTCCTTACGCGTTTTAGTTTCCCCTGGAAGCCTTACCCACTATCTTTACAAACAAGAACGACTTAAATCAAAATAATAATAAATGTATATTTACCAAAGGCGAGGGGTAGAGAATTTTCACAGTCTGCATAGTTGGTCACAAGAAAATCTTCATGAAATTCAGAAAAGATTTTTTCAACACGAATTTTCTGTGAACGTGTGGCTCGGAATAATTTCTCAATAAAGTTTGTGGACCTTTCTTCTTGCCACCCCGTCTAAATTCCCAGTCATTTCTAAACTTTCTAGAAAACGATCTATTTGCATTATTAGAGGATGTTCCATTAAATATACGACTAAATAGCTGGATACAATGGATAGTGCTCCTGCGTATTCTGGGAGAATAATATAAGAATAGTTTAATGACAATTATATGGGGCAATGGATAAGTACAAGGCCAAATGCCAATGTCAATCATAATGGTGCAAAGGGTCCAGTATCTTCGCCAGCCAGATTGCCATATCTAAACCCCGTAGACTTTTATGTTTGGGGTTATCTGAAAAGTAAGGTTTATTCTACTCCAACACATACAAGACCACAACTACTGCAACGAATAGAAGCCGGGTGTAATGAATTAAAAGAAAACCACCACATGATATTAGCTTCAATTAGTTCTATTAATAAAAAGTGTCAGAAATGTATCGATGTGGGTGATTCGCATTTTGAACAATTGTTGTAAATACGTAACGTTAATTTTGTTCTTGTTGCTGTTGCTTGGTAAATATATTTTTATTATTAATTTGATTTAAATTGTTCTTATTTGTAAAGATTATTAGGCCTCCAGGGAAAACTAAAACACGCCAGGAACACTACCTCGCGGTGGTGTAGAAAGAAGTGTAAATAATTTCGTTGATGAAGTTACAAATTGCACTTACTTTTAAGCATAAACCTAAATATTCTTGTAATATTATGGTTAGAAATGTCTGTCACAAGGGGATTGTATTGGTATTAATAACTTCAAAACGGTGAATCTTAGGGAAAAAAATCAAGTCATATTTTTTAAGTATTTTGTGCATTAGAATATAAATGTAATAATTTGTAAAAAATGCAGTGGCGTAGGTTTTTTTTTTATAAAAAAAGATGACCCCTGTCCAGTTGTACTCCACTGATTGAACCTTTAGAGCTCATATTTTAGGGAATGTAAGGCCTACTATCATAGATTATCTTCATCAAATTTTATTGAGATCGGTTAATAGATTTCTAAGATATAAACTAAAAATGATTTTTTTTAACAACTTCAACACCCTGTATTTCTAAAACGGGGCCGTTCCAGACCTATGTTTATAAGGCAAGCACGTATTATTTTAAAGCGATCTATCTGCCCTCGAAGTTTTCTGCATAAAATTCGGACCACCCTGTATACTTATTATTATTTTCTGTGTAGATTTGCGGAATATATAAAATTTTCAAAATACCAACGATTTTAAGTTTTCTGACCGAGAAGGCTTTGAAAATAGACAGTTTGACGTTTAACGTTATTAGAAGCGTGGTAACACAAATCTTTGGAATGCATTTTTAGCCCTCTTTCCGTTTTTGAAGTAAAATACAAAGTGTGCCATATAAAAAAACACAAGTCGTGGTCACATCACAAAAACTAAAAATATTATCACATTTATTTTTATGCCATCGAATGTTTCTCAAAAAAGTGCCTGTAGAATGTTATAACTGTTTTAAGATAATATCTTGAAAGGGAAACGAGAAAAGGGCACCAGTCGGATTAGCCAGAAGTCGAGAAACGCCCTGTAGCTCGAAAACGGGAACAGATAGAGAGATGCGGTTTGTACCATTGTTATTTTCTCGAAGAAAGACTGGACTCGTCTATCAGATTTGCTCTATCTATGACAGATTCGCAGTAACCCTCGGAAACCGACCAATTTGAACCACCCGTTAGTTAAATGTGTGACCTTGAAAGTATTATACCACAGTCCGTGAAGTAAAAACGGACGTGAAAGAAATGCGTCTGTGAAGAATTTCCGCCCGTAATATGGCATCTAAAAATCACAATGAACACTAAACCAAAGACTCAGGAGAACCAAATTGGTTTTTACAGCCTGAATGAATTGAAATTTGGTATCTGAGAATATGTTGGTAAAAGCCTTTTCCTGATGCGCTTAATGTTAATTACCCACTTGTACAAATACATTAAACTGGATAGCTCAATTAAAAAAATATTAATATCTTTTTGTGCATTATCTGACTGTCACAATTTTTTTCTGGTGAAAGCTAAAACTTTTTTAAATAAATTCTGTCCCTTCCCAAATTTTAATAACATACCATTTAGTCGCAAAAAAAATCAACAAACGTCCGTCACATGCAGCCCGGCAATAATTACCATAAAGGAGTTATTATTTACCGGTCGAGGACGATTTTGCGCCCGAGCGGAGCGAGGGCTGGCAATAGAGACCGAGAATGGTAAATTTTACTTAACTGCTGCTTCTTAATCAATTCATTTTGACATTATTCGAAATCTTGCAAAGTCGCCTTGGTTGTTTGGATTTTCGTCTCGAAGGTGTTTATAAACAAAGTTACATAAAAATTGCAATTTTGCTGGTTTTGAATTATTATTAATGAGTGATTTTGGAATAGAAAGTGCAGCAAATGCTGCCTGCGCATTTTTATTGCCCGAGAAGTCGAAAGTGCGCTACGGACGAGCATATAGAAATTTCAAGGAATGGTGCCTAAACAAAAATACTGGTATTTCTGAAATGTCAATGCTAGCATATTTCATGGAGAAGTCAACAACTTTAAAGTCACCGGCGAGTTTGTGGAGTGAATACTATTAAGTCAACTATTTTCATAGAGAAGAATATATATCAAAATACCCCAAGCTGATAGCATTTTTGAAACGTAAGAATGACGGCTATACACCTAAAAAGTCAAACGTTTTTACAAGTCAACGATCTTTTCGTTCAGGCATCCGATAACACATATTAGCCAATGAAGGTAGTGACGGTCTTAGGCATTGCAGTTCTGATGAGTTATACAAACTTACTTTGGACAACGTCAGTTTCAAAAATTTCGATGACATTGTAGTTACAATTCCAGATTCTAAAAATGGTATATCGTACGTTTACAATT